CGGGCTCTTCCGGACCCCCCTCCCTCCCGTGAGCCTCTCCTCTTCAATGGGCGCTTTGGATTCCCTCGCCGGAGGAGCCGCCAACCCCACCGCCGCTGCCCTCACCATGCTGAACGGGGCAGAGAGCCAAAGTTTCGCCAAGGAACCCCCCGACCTCCAAGGCGCGACCACCACCGCCGCCCCCGCCAAAGAGCCGGGCGGCGGCGAGTTAAAAATCGGCGCCCATCAGGAACGGTTCTACTACCCCGAACTCCCAATGCAAGAAGGCGGCGGCGGCGGCAATAATCATCCTTTGGGGCTGACCTACGGGGGACCGATGGTCCAGGGAGGCTTCGGGATCAGCCCCGCAGCCCCATCAGGCAGGTTTTTGGGGCCGGCCGTGAACAACTGCTCTTCTTATCGGCCCCAGCCCGTGCCTCCGCCCGTCCCTGCGCCTTCTACGGCCGGCCCTCCCGGGAACGCCAGCTACTCGGTGTCGGCCACCGGCGAGCTCTACCCAAGCCCCGGGGACTTGTACTCGAACGCGCCCGGCGGGGAAGGCTGCTACTCGGCGGCGGTCCCGCACGTGTTCCCGCGGGGACCTCTCTATCCAGTGCCCGGCTACCAGGTCTCCGGGAAGATCCAAGTGGTCCTCAACAACTATCCTCTCTGGGCGAAGTTCCACAAGCACCAGACGGAGATGATCATCACCAAACAGGGCAGGTGAGCCGGGCCCCCGGCTGGGCGCACGGGCGGCGGAGGCTGCGGCGCGCAGGGAAGGGATGGGCAGGGCAGGGCAGGGCGTGGGAGGGCCGGAGAGGCGCGGTGTGTAGTTTGAACGGACGGGGACGGGACGGCACGGAGGGGTCCCCGGCATCCTAGCGAGAGAACGTGAGGATTGGGGCACAGAGTGAAAGGAGCGATCCGGGTTCAGGGCCAGTGGGATCGAGATGAAGGGCAAGCGATCTCGGTCCAAGGTGCGCGGAGAGCTCGCGGCTGTGACGGGGACGGGAAGGGAGCACCTCAGAAGAAGGAGGAGGAGGCACGTGGACTTGAGGGGGGGCGGCAAGGGGTGGGGAGAATAGTGTCCATCGGGCCGCAGTTAGTTGTTCTTCCTTCCGCTTTTATTTTATGTATATGCCGCCCTTCTTCCAAGGGCGGAAAGGTGACGGTCCACTCCCCACCTTATGCTTAAACTTGAGTTTCTGGATGCAAACAGCAGCAGCGTCTCTACCCATTTAGACCACACCACTAGGCCACACTGATGCTCCGTTACCGCAGCATACGCTTTGGCTAGAGAGAAACAGGCGGTAGGCTGTTGGGGATTCTGCCTCGGCTTGGTTGGAAGAGACACGCTGGGAATCCTGTCTTCGGAGATCCCAACCCCCCCACCACCATCCAAAGCGTCAGCAAGCAGGGAGGAAAAAGGGAACAAGAACACCCCAGTCTTATTTGAGGCTGACCACTATCTGTTGCTCTTTGAGGGGCCTCCCCCAAGTTTTCACTTGCTTACTTTGGACCTCCTTCTATTTCTTCTTGTGTGAGAGATGGCGCTTCTCAGTGGTGCCTTGTGCTTGTTCAGAGGTCTTATTTTCTCTGCTCTTCCTCAGTCCTCCCCCCCCCTCCCAGAATCCCAGGGCTGAAGTGGGAGCTTTGAAAATACCAGTGCAAAAGTTCTGATGAGTCTGTTTCCAAGTAACTCTTGGGCTGTGAAAGTTTGGAAATTCAGGGTAGTTTTAACTCATAACCCACAGCCTGCAGCCTCCGTTAAGCCTGGAGGATAGATGAGATAGGTTTTCAAGAGGTCTATCAATTTGTTTTCGGATGCACCAAATTTGCACGCAGTGTATGCCAGTAAAACTTATACTGGGGACTTGCTACCCCTTCTTTGCAGACTAAGTGCAGTTAGCAAAGGGAGTTGCCGCCTTCCCCCCCCCCCATGGTGCAGCAGGGGCAAAAAAAAAAAAAAAAAGGACCGTTAAAAAAATGTTAAAGGAGGCCTTTAAGAACATCCTCCCCTATAACAGACACACCATGTTTAAATTTTTATTTTGTCTGTTGCAGCCTCTAGGATTTCTTTTCTCATTATTATGTGTTTGTCTTCTTTATGGGGACGGGGTGTTTAAATTGCTGCAAACCTCCCAGAGTAGTGGGTTGCCCCTCGATAGGTTATAGATAAATAAATGCAATAAATAAGTAAAAATAAACAATAAAAAGGGAAAATCTTACTTGAACTAAAAGATCGCTCCCAGGCAAGTATGATTACCTTTTCATACGGAAACAATGCTTGTTGGGTTTTAGCAATCTCCCTCTTCCGCCACCACAAAAGCCTTCCATCTGCAAACAAATGTAAAAAGCTACCTTAATGTCTATGTTTATGTTTTAAATGGCGCTCTTCCACTTCTGTCTTTCTGTCTTTCTAATACAGGGACAGAACTTTTATCTCTTCAGCTGTTAAACTGATGAAAACTGATGTTAGAAAGATAGAAATCAAGGAACAACTAAAATTGATATTAGTCAATTCCAATAAATGAAATAATAATTATGAGTTAGTTTTCCTCTTTTCTGTCCTGAAGAAAACAGAGTTTAACTAATTTATAAGTAGAACCAAGTTTAATGGGTGTGTCTAATATTTAGAGGGATTTAAAAGGAAAAAGTTAAACATCTCCTTAACAAGAAAATATAAGAAAAACAGAAGTAGCGTCTTTTAAAAGTACATGTTGTTTTATACTTCCTTTAGTATCACCAATAATTTTTTTTAATTGTAGTATATTGATTAGACATAAAGTTACCTGATCTGGAATCCTGTACCCACTTACTTGAGAGCAAGTCCCAATGGACTGAATAAGACATGTTTCTGAATAGAAAGGTTTAGGATTGTACTGTAAATTGTTTGAAATGAAAGTGATTCACTGACTAAATAATACTGAAAGTGTTGACAGCCCTACTGATAAAGCCTTCATGAGCTGCATGTTCTAAAAGAGGTTCTAGGTGCCAATTGTGCACATTAGGCCAAAGATGATGGAATTCTGTGTTCAGAAGAGGCCACTCTGTGGGCTTAAACCTGGCACATTATTTATTTATTTATTTATTTATTTATTTATTTATTTAAACTTGTTGCAAACACTCTATGGGCGGTTCACAACACATAAAATCACATTAAAATCAACAATGCAAAATGACAATATACAATAAATACAATGAAATAAAGAAAACCCTGTCACTGGCTTAAAAACCTGTATTTAAATAGAACTAAATGCATTTAAAACAAATTTGGACATCTCAGGTCAGCGGTTACAAAAAAAATAAGAAAAGGCAGCTTTAAATAATTCAAATAATTTTTGATTCATTTCCTAAAAACTGAGAGGGGTGGTGGGGCTTTGATGAATCTCTTTTGGAAACTTGTTTAGAGGGAAGAAACCAAAGGGAGGGGGGAAGAGTGGCTACTGGAGTCAACGTTTTTGGCCTCCTTATGTGTCCCAGTTTTTAGCAGTAAAGACTGTGAGGAGCGAGTGGGACAGATCTCTGTAGAAGGAAAAAGTGGAAGAGATGTTTTCTATGACATTTTCCATTTCTCCCCAAGCACTGCAGGCACCCTGGCAGGGAGACAGTGGCAGAAGTAGTCCATCTCCCCACCCCCACCCCGCCAAAAGATTTCCCAAGCTTTGCTTAGGAATGACTAAACTAAAAGTTTCCACTGTTCTGCAGGAAGAGTCTTCTAATTACTTGATATCACACACACAACATGGATAAAATAGAGACCATTATGTAAAAGAGAACTGTAAGCATAAACATAATGGTATCATTATAAGATTTCTTCTCGTAATTTTAGAATACTTTTATTTTACAAGTGGAACTCTGCATAGGATTTGGCCAGTTACATAGCGCTGCATTATTATTGTTATTATCATCATCATCATTATTTCAAGAAGTATCAGGTTGTGCAGGGCTGTGCACAATTTTTATCTTTTAAGTAATTCTCTGACTCCTTGTAACCCACCCTTTCTCCAATGAGCTCAGAGCAGTATATATAGTATTTCTATACTCAGATGCCAACTGGCCAGGTGGGGGATGCTGAGGGGGCAGCGACTGGCCACGAGGCATCTCAGAGGACAGCACTGTCAGCACTGCACATAGCCTGTCCTGCATTCCCCCAAAGCTAGCCGGTCACAACGGAGACAGCTACACTGAACTAAGGTTCAATGACCAAACAAACCAGCCTTTTCTACTTTAGCGCATGGAGGGCAGGGGGGGCTCTATCACCTCAACTTCTCTTTCAAGCCATCAAATATAACTAGACTAGTTGTGCTCTACCTTATTTCTTTCCTGGTAAATTTCAAGGAACTTTAAAAAGGAATGCAGTGTGTGTGTGTGTGTGTTAGTTTGCAGGTGTAACTTTTGCATTTCCATACTTGGCATGAAAAGCACCACAGAGACTCTGTCTTGTGGTATTTCTCAGAGCAAGGGAGCCATTTTAAAACTTCACCACATTTTGAAAGGAGATGAACTGGTTGGTTTACCTAGTGTCAGGATGTTTGTATTCTCAGCAACAGTTTTGGGAACGGCTGGTGTTAATACAGTAATGCAGTTTTCACTGCATTTAATTTCCACTTTACCTCAGTGTCTGTGATCTAACAAGCGACCAAATATCTATCCTTAAAATTCCACATGACACTCCAGGCACCTCATAAAATGGGTAACAATCCACAAAAACTCATGCTACAATACATGTTTTATGTATTTGGGTGCCACGACACTCTGCTTTATTTTAGCAGCAGAAGTACATTTCTAGTCAGTGTTGTCCTACATGTGTTCCAGGAAATGCAAAAAGGCAAATAAAGTGTCAGCGTGAGAATACATCCGTTGGCTTTTTGGGACACAATAGGCAGACCTTCAAAATGTTACTTTGTGGGACAGCAGTTCCCAGAATATCCCAGTTGGTATGTCAGGCTGATGATGATGTTTATTTTAGCAGCAGAAGTACATTTCTAGTCAGTGTTGTCCTACATGTGTTCCAGGAAATGCAAAAAGGCAAATAAAGTGTCAGCGTGAGAATACATCCGTTGGCTTTTTGGGACACAATAGGCAGACCTTCAAAATGTTACTTTGTGGGACAGCAGTTCCCAGAATATCCCAGTTGGTATGTCAGGCTGATGATGATGATAATAATAATAATAATAATAATAATAATAATAATAATAATAATAATAATAATAATAATAATAATAATAATAAAGATGACAAAAACATTGTGGAACCTTAAAGACTTTCTGTTATATTTTAATGTGAGCTTTCCTAGGCAAGTCCACTTCTTCAGATATCATCATGAGAATGTGACAGAACTTTCTTTTATGTTTACTGTGAGGCTTGGCATTCAGAAGGCTGGAAAAGGCAGCCTTGACTACTTGGTATGGCTAAAGGTTCCTCGAAATTGTAGTTGAAAATATTTTTTTCCAATTTCTGACACACAGAGAGAGGAAGACAGACTTTTTATTTTAAAAAGAGTGTGCTTGTGATAACTACCTACAATATACTCATTCTGTTACATACAAACCGTTAGGTTGGGGAATTTATTTCTACTGGGATCTCACCCTTGGTACTTGTTTTAAGTATTAGGCCCTAATCTCAAAACACAAAAAGTTAAAATGAAATTCCTCCAAGCAAGATCAGATCATCGTTTCTACTTCTTTTTCTGTAACAATTGAGTTACAAAATCTCAGACC